GTGAATATCACTGGCTGGACTTCCTGGCTTCTTTCTCAGTTCTGGAGCTGTACAGGGTCCCTCACGTTAGTTCTGTTTTCATAGGCATCACAGTTGCTGGGACCATTCCTTAGAACGGGTCAGATGATACCAGACGTGACTATAAGTTTGCTAGCTCTGTTACCTTTTAAACCTCCCAGCAAGTGATTAGTAGTTGGATGCTTCATTCGCTATCCTCACTTTTCTCTTTGCCTTCTCTAGAAGCTGGAGCTGTGCAATGTGTCCTATATTTTTAGTGCTGTGGGGTAAAAAGTATTTGAACCCTTCAGTTGTGTTTTTTTCCTTTCTTCCTGTTTCCCTGGTTTGAGATATATTAGATGTGTGTGTGAGAGAATGTGGGATGATCAGGGATCCCAGACATAACAAGAGGAGGAGGTGATCTAAAAAGTTTGAGAACTCATAATCAGTTTATACACCTACAATATTGTGATATCCTAAAATACTTATTGTCTCAAGGCTCAGAATTTGTTGTGAAGAGTTATTCTCTTTATGCAGTGTGTGGTAAAATAATCACGAGTTATCTGAAGTGTTCTCTGTATTAACTAAAATTAGAAAACACTTGCGATGCTTTGTTTGATTAATGGAAGTCTGTATTTGCAATTGGTAAGATGTGTTATTAACCCATTAGAACTTTGTGAGATCAGAGTCAATATGGTTTATTATCAGATCTAAGAGATATCTATTTGATCTGAATTTGTTAGTAGACTTGACATTAGTAGTACTTGTGGCTGGTTCTGTTTTCAGAAGCATCTTTAATGTGTTAGTCATTATACAAGCACAGGAAGTCTGGAACACTCTTGAGAGGCTTTGAACTTTTAATACCTAATACTAGAGCAGGTATGAGTGTTATAAATTACTTCTGATCAAAATCTTGGCACAGCTCTTGTGTGATATGCCAAGATAGTAGCCATACAGGTTAACTGAGATGGATATAGAGTTAATTTTATAATGTGCTCTGGATTGTTATAGATTCTCTGTGTATTCCTTTTTTTATAGCTGGATGTCATCATTCTCTTGGCTTCTTACATTTGTCCATTTTGCACTGGTGGAATTTTTCAGATGAAAATGTGAAAGATTTGTATACTTATTTTTAATTAGGTTTTCAATTGCTTGCTCGATCTTGCATTCCAAACAGAGTTGAGTAAAATTTCTGCATCTCCAAGGGAAATTAAAAGCACTCTGATTGTTTTTACATTCCCTCCTGATTCTTTCAAAAAAGAAAGACAAAATGACCTTGTTTCATTGTGTTGTAGGCTTAAGACAAACACACATAGTTTTTGTAATGTTATTCTTTTTGGTTAAGCTATGTTCTATTCTCCAGTTAATGGCATCGTTTACAAAAGCTGCACATCATTTTAAATTGCAGTTTTCAGTTTATGATTTGTAACCTACTGTGGAATTCTCTCTGGAGCATGTATAAAAGCCAACTCAGTTCTGTGATGCATGTTGAGAGAATTTCCGTAGAGAAACCCCATACTCTAATTTGCAACAAAAACTGAGTGTTTGTTTAGCCTTCCTCCTTCAAGAACTTTGTATAACCTTATGATTAGTCTCAGTAGTAGAGATGGGGAAGCTGAAGCTCAGGATTATATTATCTCAGTTCAAATGGTGGATTTGGAGTAAAGCCATGAACGCAGCTTAAAAAATTATTCAAACTTCACTTCTTTTGCAGAGTGGGGTACTTTGCTATATCACCTCACATGGTCTCTGAGGCACCAATTCTTACAGAATTTAAAATACAAGTAAATGTTCAGCTCAGTTGCAGAACAAACTTTCTAAATGTAGGCTGGAAAGAATGAAGTGTGAATCACTGGCAAAGTGCTGCACATTTTTTTGTTTTTTCCAATTTCTTTTGGTTACTCAAGTAGAAGAAGAATAAAATCTAAAATGGGTTATTTTATCCTGCTTCTCTTAATCATCTATGATCATTGCATAGCTGTAAGGATGTAAGAGGTTTAAGCAACAGCAGATACAAGCACTAGGTTTTATGGGCAAAAGATTCAAAGTAAGCCTTAGTGCAAGCAGGTAAAATAATGAATATTCAAACCAGCCAAGAGGTCACAGAGCAAAGGGTCCTTGAGGGGGCAAGAAAGAATTAAAAATTTAGTATATGTTAGGAAAGGGAGAGACCCAATGGGAAGCTTTTGAATTATATCTTGTTGAAATCTGAACAAGTTTTCATTTATTAGGCCAGTGTTGGAAGCAGGAAAGAGTAGAATTTTCTTACCCAGGTGATGTAATTTTTCATTATTAATGATAGTTCTGCTAATTTTACTTCTCTATCTACAACTTGGTAGGCTTTCTACCTACCTTATAAGAAGATCAGATATGTATTTGGGTGTGTTTTCTTGCTAAAAGGAATTTTAAGTACTTACCTTGGGATTTGTCTTTAAATCTTCTGCAGAGGAAAAAGAAAGAAATGCTGAAGCCAGCAGAACCATCATAATAATTATTTATCTAAAAAAAGAATACAGTCTGTATTCTGCAGTCCCTCAGGGGAACACATATAAGAAAAATATCTTAAAGAAAAGAAAATGTGTTGTGATTTTTCAACAGATACTGATGTCATGTTTGCTTTAACCTGTTCAATTTAATTTAGACATCACGATCTTCAAAGAAGGTTCATAATTTCGGAAAGAGATCCAACTCAATAAAGAGAAATCCTAATGCACCTGTTGTCAGACGTGGCTGGCTCTACAAACAGGTACTCTTCCCCTTTTCACACACTCCCCCCGCCCCGTTTTTGGTTGTTTGGGGTTTTCTTCTTTTTTTTTTGGTAAGATGTATAATGTACAAAAGACAGTCATTTGCATAAAATACAATAGCAATACTAGAGTGAAGCTGTAAACTGTGAGGAACTGACACGTGGCATTTTAATTAATTAGCTACTTATTGGATAACACTGATACAAATGAGTAAGGGCATCAGACTAGTACAGAACATTAATATATATACAAATTTCTTTCTAAAATACACAAAGGGCTTGAAAAATCTAGGCTGATGTTGTTAGTAAATAGCTGAATGAATTTCAGGCATGCTGAGATGACAGGACAAGGATGTATGGCCCATGATATTGAGTTTTTAAATTCTGAAGCTTCTTTTGTTAGGCTGCATCTCTTTAATCTTTTTTAAAGTAAATATTTTCAATAACAAATTGGAAATCGAGCAACTTTTTCACATTTGAAAAGAGAGTGGAATGCCTGTTTTCTTCACTCAACCAGAGATCATTTTAGGTTTTCCTATTGAACATCAACTAATCTGAAGTAGGTGCTCTTTAGTACTCGGTTACCCTGTATTCAGCCTGCTGTAGAGTTGCTTCTGCAATACCAGACCACTTACACTTTCTTTCTCTGCAGGAAATCAGAGTAGAGTAGTTTGATCAAAAAATTGAACAACAAAACTAATTAGGCCATATTAGCATATATTTTATAAATCTACCAAGAACCCTGTAAGAACCTGTCATTTAAACTCAGCTGAGGCAAATGTGTATGTGTAGTTTTGAATCTACGTTGTCATTTACTGTCCCTACTCTGATAGACTGGTATGACGCACATAGCTTTCCTAGATGCTGTTGATGAGTCAGTTTTTAAAAACTACTATCAGACAAAAAGATCTAGAACTATCTGTTTAGTAGAAGATTTTTCCATGTTTAGATGCTCTTGTGGCCTCTACTCTCACTCAGTGTTGAGAGTGAAAAGTTGTCACAAAGGTGAGATATTTTTTTTTTATTTGTTTTGGGGCTATTAAACTTTTGAGCTTGGAAAAAAAAAAGTAACTCTATTCCTGAAGTAATGTTTTCTGCATTTTTGAATTAAACGAGAAAATCAATTAACTCAACTGAACTATGAAGTCAGAATTACAGCACGGGTGGCTGTGCACATGAGTGTCTGTGTTATGTAAGTTGTTGTTGCCATGCATGTGAGTATAAAAATCTTCCCCTATCAGAGTAGCCAACAGAAACAGAAGTTTGCTGAGACTGCTGCCTGCTTCTGAATACGCTAGATTTGTGATGATCCAGCTTTTCATTTTGAGGTCTTTTATAGTGAGTTTTACATGTATGAAAAGATATGCTTATGTACTGAACTAACTTACTGGAATGCTCTAAAGATTCTTGCTGGTTTATGTCTGCTGTTTCATGTCAAACCATGGATATTCAGCACATAAAGTAGCACAAAGATGTTGCTTTCCTAAAAATGATAGAATCATAGAATCATCTAGGTTGGAAAAGACCTTTAAGATCATCAAGTCCAACCGTTAACCTAGCCCTGCCATCCCACCACTGAACCATGTCTCTAAGCACCTCATCTACCCTTCTTTTAAATACCTCCAGGAATGGGGACGCGACCACCTCCCTGGCAAGCCCGTTCCAGTGCCTGACAACCCTTTCGGTGAAAAACTTCTTCCTAATGTCTAACCTAAACCTGCCCTGGCGCAACTTCAGACCATTCCCCCTCGACCTTTTGTCCATTACCAGGGAGAAGAGGCCGACCCCCACCTTGCTACAGCCTCCTTTCATGCAGTTGTAGAGGGCGATAAGGTCTCCCCTCAGCCGCTCCTCATAAGACTTGTGCTCCAGACCCCTC